GGAATCAGTGACAGAAGTCACCCTCATTACAGAATTACTACCTAAGACATTTTCACTTTTAAAGAAGGAGGCAAAGGCAGGAAGCAGATGCTGTGGTGAAGGCAGGGTTGAGCGCCGGCAGTACATTCACTGCTCTGAGAGGCAGGGCCACATGCATCAAGGGTCGGGGTGAGATAATCAGCAAAGCAAACAATAGTAGCAAAGGAACCAGGTAAGGACAGGGTTCGAAAGCAGTCAAGAAGTCATCCATAGCGCAGGTCACAGGTTGGCCAAGTACATGGCTGTTGCCCAACCTTTCCCTTTCCTTTTCTTTGCAGATAAAACCACTCATCTCCTTCCCCATTCCTAAATTCTATATCCTTTCATATCTAGTCTGCATTGATTTTTGCATGCCTACTAAAATGCAAGGAAAGCCATAGCGTCAGCCACGTTTCTATACATATATGCCCTAAATTATTCTTTGGGTCAGATCCTAAGCTAATGTAAATTATGATTGCTTCAGTGAAGTCACTAAAGCTATAAATATATATATTAGCTGTGGACCTGAATCTTTATGCTTCTGTGCTTAACTCTTACAGAGGAAAATTTCTATAAGGAGAATAGTGTCCAGTCTTCTGGTTTCTATTCATAGAATCATAGAATCATGGAATGTTTTGGGTTGGAAGGGACCCCTAGAGGTCATCCAGTCCAACCCCCCTGCAGGAGCAGGGACACCGCTAACTAGATCAGGCTGCTCAGAGCCCCGTCCAACCTGGCCTTGAATGCTTCCAGGGATGGGGCCTCCACCACCTCTCTGGGCAACTTGTTCAATATCTTTCCTTTGGCTTTCTGCAGGAAGATGTTATTGCTTTTATTCCACACTGTTTCCCTTCTCTTTGTCCATCTGTTGATTTCATCAGTTTCATTCTTTCTTACTGCTCATTTTCTAGAGAGTCGCTTCTCCCATATGCACATCCATGCAAATAGGGTCTTTTTTGTGCATCCCAGTTTAATGGTCCTTCTATACACCACAAACTTCCAGAAATGAGAAGAGAGAAACCAATTTATGCCTCTCATCCTGTCCTGATACACAACAGAGATAGTGGGGACTGTGACTGAGCAAAGGCTGAAACTTCACATCCCTATGGGTACTTAGAAAATATGTCCCTGTTTTGAGCCATATATTCTGTGTTACAGTCATATGCCTGACAAGCCCCTTAACACCAGCAAAGGAAGAAAACACTCTGGCTGAATTTCTTGTAACACATTTTACAAATAAATACTACTGTTATTATCCTATTCAAGTCCAGCTAGGAAAATAAGCATCTCAGCACCCAATATTTCAAAGGAATGGGAGTCTGTGTTTGTTTGTATATGCACGTGTGCTTTACTAAAGTAAAACATGACAAAAGAGGCACTTCTGATAACAGTGACATGTAAGATGAATGTAAAATAGAATAGTCAAAAATGTGTTTGATGGATGAGGTTAAGGATGAAAGCCTCTGTAGCAATTCAGCTAATGAGCCTTGTTTTATTCATCTCATGTTACTGCTGCCAGGAATGGATCAGTTGTACGACACTTTTAGTGACCTTTCAGGCACAGCCAGGATAAAATGCCTGCAGAAAGGGCAGCATTTTGCATGCTTTAAGAAACTGGCTCAGAGTCCACAGGGAGCTTTTAGCACAGTCTGGACACCACAGGCTTTGTAGTGCTGAGAAACTGCCACCATCGAGAAAACTTGCTACAAAGACATTACTGAAATCATTTTGTATTGGAGTTCACTTTCTATTACGTACCTTTTTGCCTGCCTTGCAAAGTTTGTTGGTGTGTGTAAGAAGCCATTGTATGCCCACAATAAGGTTGCAGCAATGTCCTCTGCCCTACCATCATTTGGTTACACTTGCGGGGGCTTCCACTGTCAGTTGAAGGCAGAAATGTCTCTGCAAGCTTGCCTTGTTTGTCGCTTGACAATCTGGCTTGTTAACACTCGGTGTTTATCCTCTGCAACAGGGCAAAGACACAATGCATGCAGATATATCCGTCATTCATCTTTCTCTCATGCCCACACAAACCCATTTTGCTCAAAGAAATCTGGTTCTTAACACGTTGCTTTGGCTTTCGAAAAAAACTCTAAAGCCACTCTGAAGACCTTTTGCCTCATGACTGCAAAACAGAGTATCTATGCCTGCAGCCTCCTAATGATGGCTTACCGGTTGCTTGAAGGGTCTTGGGAAGTACACAAGGAATGCAAAGCTGGACAAATGCATATAAGCAACATCCATAAAGTGACATAGGTTGACACCTGCGAGATACTCAGCCCAACACAGGTATTTTCTGACTTGAGTTGTCAGAGGTCGAGAGTGAGAAAAAAAGGAAAACTGGGCAAAAGAACAACAAAACGTAGCTACAGCAATGACATGTCCATTCTTTTTGCTGCAATCTTTGTATTTGAACAAGACGGGTTGTATTTCCTCCCAGCTTAGCACTTCACTCAACAATATTCCTATAGTGCATTCTTCATTCAGTGCCTATAAACTTAGTATGCATTCAAAGACATGATCAGATGGTAATAAAGTTATTCTGATGGTTACAGACAGTAAGTAGGAAGCAACAAATGGCACTTATCTTGATTTTAGCAAGATTTTGACCCTATGCAAGGTCTGTAAGCAGGCCAGGGAAGCACTTTCCAGATGCAGTCATCATAGGCTGTGTGCAGAATTGTTTAAAGCTTTATTTGAAATTTAGTTATCAACCAGCTGGGATGACATTTCAGACAGGATCCCACTGGGATCTTGGCTAGGGAAATAACTCTCTTCATTATTTTTGCTAACAGCAAAGGATGATAGAGGAGACAACATTTGTAAAAATTTCGGATGAAACCAGACTGGGAGGGGTATGAGCACTTGTGAAGATAGGATTAGCAGTCAAAATGATCTTGAGAAGTGGCTTGAAATCAAGAAGATGAAATTCAATACAGACAACTGCAAAAGAACTCCTGTGGGGAAGAATCAATCAAGTGTCTTCAGATAAAATATGGACTACTTGGCTAGACTACAGTTAGTGTCAAAACATAAAAATAAAGATCAGCTTATTAAGCATTTGTATGAAGCTGTTGGAAAAAGAAGGAAAAAACCAAACGAACAAAACCCCCACCCATTATTCCAGGTAATCTACAGAAGACCGACATGGCAGTTGTTGCAGTTAGCCCTGATTTGTGCACCACATTGTAAGAAAAACATAAGCAGACTGAAGAAAGATTTTCAGGCTTGGAAATTTAGAGGCTTGAAAAACATGGGCCATGAGAAAACTTTGAAAGACCTAGATATGCTTAAATCTGAAAGAGACGAATAGCATGAAAATGATTTTTGAAAGTGCTTAAAAGTAGTTATAAAAGGGGAAAAAAAAGGCTCATTTGTCTTCATATCCATAGGGAGAAAAGGGCAAAATGTAGAAAAGTGGTTAATTTGCAGGAAATTACTTTTAAAATTAGATATTAGGAAGTTAGGCACAGGGAAAGGCAACACAAAGAGATTATAGAACCTCCTTCATTAGAGATGTCAGGGATTAATCTAGTAAAACATCATTCTGGTATAGGAGTATATGAGATGTTGCCACAGAGCACAGAATCAGCTAAAATATTTCTTCATTCTGGCCATTCTTGCCAGGGAAGAAGGTGGATGACAGGTTCAACACATCTGTGGTGGCAATGGAGATATACCATACCGGTCCAGTCTAGTGTTTTGGTGGCTTTTTGCTTGCAAACTAAATGGTGGTCAGAGGGGTACAAGAATTTGATTCTGTAACATGTCTGGAATGCGTGTGACTGCATTGATAAGTGTGGCGCATATTGAGGGGTACCTTAGTATAAAAATAACCTCACAAATGCAAGTTTTCAGGACTCCAACCACTGTGAATGTTCTCAAGCCAAGGGTTATAAGTTTACATTTTGTGATTTTTATGTGAATGTTACTGCATTTTAGATTCACAAGAAGCTATCCGCTATCAAAGAACCTTTTTTTTTTTTTACTTTAAATGTACGCAGGGCCAGTCTCTCAGTAGCAGTGCCCAGACCTGTGGAAAAAAAAATGCACTTCAATACCTGAACTCTTTGGCCCTTTTCTATCAAAGTGAAGTCAAATTCACATCTGCTGTGTAAGAGGCAGTATTTCAGGGATGAGAGCTGCCCACAAATAACCCCCAAAAGCCAATAGTTGGGTCTCTTGGTGCAAAGGAAGCAAAGGGTGCTCTTTTACCTGTGAAAAGAAAGTATTATAACAGAGAAACAGGGGTCTCGGGCTCAGATGAGATTGAATTGCCCTGGAAATTGTTTAAAATAAACATGAGAAGACCATCGGGAACTGACAGTCATGTGAAATAATAAACAACTCCCACCCTACAACCTTCCTGCAGACCCCCAGCGCCTTGGGAGAAAGGCTGGTTTCCTTAGATCTGTGAAGCCTCATCTCTGAAGCTCAGATAAATTGTTCCTACCCTCTGTTTGTGCCTTTCAGCCCAAATGTCAAAGACAGGGAAGAAGAAAAACTTTTGCGGCTCAGACAGAGTCGGATCAATGTGCTCTCTCCTCTACATCACTGACCCTCAGTATGACAGCAAGGCAGGCACAGTAACCACAGTCAGCAGCAATGCATTCATGCCAACAAATAAATGGGTTTCAACGTTTGTAATATCTGAATAGCATGTTGTTTTCTACTCCAGTGAGGTGGTCTACTTGAAAAATGGGGATGTGTGGCTATTTCTGATAGACAGATGGCTGTTATAAACCCCTCATTGTCATTCTGTGATTTTAAAATTAATTTGATTTTAAAATTTAAAAAGGGGCTTTGCCTTTCTCTATTTTTTTTTTACCCTTTTTCTGCATCTGCACAATTAGCTGGTCTAATTTTAACAGATTATTAGGGGGTCCATCAAAAATAAACTGTGTGCTGGTTGGTTCTTGAACAATAATGCCTATCACTTCTGAAAAGATGTTGCTAATGAAAACAATTTTCCCCCCTTACAGTTGATTTCATAGGTGGATTTGACTCTTACGGCTATCAAGGTCCACAGAAGACATCTCATTTACAGCTACAGCCCATGTATATGTAAGTACTTAACTTCTGAGATATTCTGCAGAGTGGCAGGCTGATATTAAAGGTTCATTAAGCTGAAAGATGACATGACTTAAAAATTCAGAATAGGCAGAAGCCTTTTTTGAGAGACTGAATTCATGTTACACTTAAGCACCAACATTACTCTTCTGCTGAATTATAATGATTTCTTATGGCAGGATACAAGGTGTCACAGTTGTTTGAATAACACCCAGCCCTCACGTGATTGTCACCCATTTTCATTCAAGTAGTTTCCACTCAAAGACAATGAGAATTGAGTTTAGTAAAAAAATAGTCAGATCTGACAAAATTTTGTTGAAAAAATGTCAGGTTTATTAAATTTTATCAGAAGTTCGGCAACCTGGTAATTTAGTGGATGCATTTAGCATTTGTCTTACCAGCACATCTGTTCACTGAGGCACCTCTGTACCTCATTTCCAATCTCCACATTAAAAAAAAACAAAAAACCAACCCAAATTTAACAACATATGGCTTTTAAAACCAGTTTGAATAGAAGACAGTATTCTACCAAACCAGTGAGAGTGACAGCTCCATCCGCTGCCTAGAAGTGCAGCCTGATATATTTGGGGATTAAACGGGTAAAAAAATCTCAGCACATACACACAACTGGAGTACATTCACACTAGAGCTAACACACAACCATAGACCAGTCTAGGGATAATCATCTCCAAATATTTCTTGTACTGACGCCAACTGCAATTCAGAACAGTCCTGACTGCCCAGATAAATCTTACCTCACTGCTGCAGCCTTTTGAAATGTTTTTTATTTACCATCACTGGCCTACATGGTTAAAAGGACAGCACAGAACAGCTCACAAAGGGCCAACATTTACTTTTCTCCTCTGTTTCTCTTCTGAACATTTCTTTTGAGGAAAAGAAATGAATACAGGCAAACACTATCCATCCAAACACACTCTTCCGTTCCCCCTTGAATGTAATTTCATTTCTTCTGATTAGTGGAAGCAAGTCTGCTAATGGATTAGTGGATTTTTCATGGAACAGGCATTTACTCCTTTATCAGTGGTACAATCAGTTCTGCGGTAATGCTTAGGATTGGGCCCTTTGGGAGCTTTGCTAGGAGCTTTTTAATAATCTCAAATTACAATAGTGCATATCTCCAATGCCATCTTAACTTCAGCTTCCCATCTGTCTGTGCTCAAGCAAAGATTTTTCACCTGCACTTTTGGCGGAGTGCTGTGCATTTAGAAAATGTTATTTCCTTCCTAGCATTATGTGTGGCTCATAGGTACTTAGAACAATTGTAATCCTATTTCTTTCTCAGTATACCATACCTTGTCATCAACATATGGAGCCCTCTAGCTGAGATATTATCCCATTCTCTTTATGCTCTCAGTGTTTCTTCCAGAACAGCAGATTGCATTTACTGAGCATCTTCATACTGACTGGAAAGAAAGCTAGATCTGTGGGAAAAAAATATAAGGCAATATTTTTAAGCTTGTAGCTGAGACGAAGAAATATATGATTAATCTATGTAAACTGTGTTCTGCCTTATTTCAACGCTGTGTTCTCACTGGAGTACAGGTGATTTCACTGTCTTAACTGAGAGACAGAAATCAGTATGTAAGCTGACGTTTTGTCCAATCAACCCACAAAAGTATTGCCATGTCTCAGCCACAGTCAAACAAAGACACTTCATATTTCCCTCTGACTGTATAGTATGTGACAAGGTTCTCTAGAATTGCTACAGTCTGTCCTTAAGAGGCTTTTACAGCATTTAGTAATACCTTTCTGTTATTTACAGCTGAGGCACACCAGGAACACATGCATATGTATTCAACACCGCGGTTGCTCTGTAAATGTAGGCAGACCATTAGGTAGCAGGGAGACAAATTCGAATGTCAAATTAATCAAGCCGCAGTTTGATCTGCTTGTAGCACTATTTACAGCAATATTACGTATTGGAAATCAAAACACACTGATATGATAACAGCAGGCCACACTCAATGTTTTAAAGCTTTATTTGTGGGGAGGAAGAGTTTGGTTCCCCAGGGATCTTGTTCACCAAAGAACATCAGTTTTAGCCTCCATAGTATTAAAGGAGAAAAAAAAAATACAGCACTTTACCCTCTGGCCAATGTCACCTGCACTTCGCAATGCTCAGCATCTATAGGGGATGAATAAAAGATAAGAATCATCTAACGTAGAAAGGCAGAAGATAAGATAGGGTAGGGTAGGGTAGGGTAGGGTAGGGTAGGGTACGGTAGGGTAGGGTAGGATAGGCTAGGACAGGACAGGACAGGACAGGACAGGACAGGATAGAATAGAATAGAATAGAATAGAATAGAATAGAATAGAATAGAATAGAGACCTTCTGCTTTATGGATTTCATTGCCATACTCTCACCACTCTCCAAGGTGTAATAATATCCATCCAGGATACAACTATACCCATACATACCCATACAGCTGTATTCATAGAGCTATTCCCACAACTGCTACAAAATGTCTTTGAATCCATAGGCAGTGGAGGATGTATTAAGCATCAACCCATCTAATTCCTGCAAAAGATCAAGAAAATATAAAGGTAGCTAGTTGCCACCTCTGCGTCCTCTAACTATTCAGGCTCATATTGGGTGCAACTCATGTGGAGTTCTGGGTTTATGAGAAAATAGGTGATAGTTGCCTTTAAACCATCTGGTTACTAAGGATTTCCAAAGGCACAGTAGCACCTCTTGTTGTTGTCTATAGTGTGGTAGTACCTATAGGTGTGCGAGGCATGCTATGAAAGTGGAGGAGAACATACGGCCTCATCTTTGAAGAGCTTACCAAAATAAGATCAGCTTCTAATGGTAGCACAGATTCTGACAAAATGCAAATTTCAACTTGTATTTCAGTAATAAGCACAGAGAACCCCCCATATATTTACCAGATCAGCTCATACACAGAATTAGTACAAATCTTAAAGGACTTACAGAGTTGTGTGGTAGCTCTCAGTCATCATCCACATCCTGCTTGCTGATGTGAATTGATTTAGTGGATTGCGATGACAGAATTCCATCAACACAAACTTTTATTTCAGTTCAAGCCAGACAGATTTATATCCAAGTGATTTAAATCAATTTTAACTGTTTTACACATGCACAGTTTAATTATTATCCTGAAGGAATGCTGGGTTTAGTAATTACTAACTGTTAAGACACACTGTTTTGCAACCAGTTTCCTCCTGTGTGCTAAAGTTAGCACTTCATTTTGTTAATTTGGAGGTAATACTGAACCTACACAAACTTACACGTGCAATTAAATAATTATACTGATTTATTCAGGCTCCTTATGTTTACATTTTTATTGTGTCAGGATTTTTTTAAGCAGAGAATTATTACTTTTTATTTGTGATATCAAACAAGCTCTGCTTACAAGAACATTCAAACTCATTTTAGACACACACAGTACATTTGTGCGGAATTTCATCAGTTATGCAAAACTACCATAAGTGAACAGGATACATAAGGAAAAAAAATCTCAATTTATGAAAAGGAAACCTTATCTGTAGATAGTGAATGGAGGTGACTATCTCTGGCTACTGTTTCCTTAAATAGTGTAGAATTATTAGACTCAGGCTTGCTTTGTTTTCTTTCTCTATATTTTAGGCTTTGAATTCCAGTCACAATTCTCCTTATCATCTCTCCCAATTTCACATTTAATTTAAATCAGCTTCTTTCTTAGAAAGAAAAATATATTCAATTTAAAATTATGTTTTAAATAAAACACTGGTGTTTTGGGGGAGAATTCTTATCATGATGTTTATCTACCTGTTATAAATGGCTTTTTTTATTATTTAAGTGCCAACAGCGTGCTCTATGCTGTACAAGCCAAGAAGCCTAGACAGTCCCTGCAAAATGAATACGCTTTTTAAACAGAAAAGGACGGAACCAGTCCTCATGTACCTCTTTGCAGTGTGGCCACAGCTGATGTCCTAAAAAGCAGCTTCCTGGCATTCTGTGCTGGAGATGTCAGTGCTCATTTCCAGACCATGGGACAACAACACAATAAGATGGTGGAAATCAATTGTCAAGAGAAAATTCTGCTCTTGGGAGGTGATCGAGGAAGGTGACTAACAGCACTGGTTCTGATGCACATGAGAAAACACAGTTATGGCTGTGGAACAAGACTGCACTGCATGATCACTGCTCTGAAAACAGGGGGAAGGAGGGAGGGGAGAGAGATTTTTCTTTACGTTTTTCACAATAAACTTGTTTGCTCAAGAAAAGAAGAAGTGAAGCAAAAAAAAGCATGCATGTCTGATGCTGATGCCTAATGCACTGGAGAAATTGCTCAAAAGCAGTTCAGCCCTGAAGTGAAGCTTCCTTTCCTCATATTCTGTGAAGTCTGAGAATCTTTGCATTATGTGTATATATATATACACACACACAAACACAGACATTTTATATGTGTAGAAACATACATACATATATGCACACAGATCCCCTTATGTATGTGTGTGTGTGTGTATATATATAGGCCCACTGATGTGTATTCTGTTACACGGGACTATTGGTATGCATTGCTTTTCACTAGAAGGCACTTAGGATAGGTTCTGGCTAATAGGATTCTACCTCTCACCAAATGTTAGAGGGAATTCGAGTCAATCACTCAGGGGTGGAAGGGTGTTGGAGGGGTGAATGTATTTGTCTTACTACCTGGTCCCATATTTTCTCTCTGTTTTATTTACATCTGCATTATGCTGGCCACGGTCTCCCAGCCCAAAGCTGTAGGAGTTTGTGTAGATAATTCCTCATACTGAAGGTACCTACTTTACCATTGACTTGAAGTATAAGTGAAACATAAGCAAGACACAAAAAGCAGCACCTAGAGTATAACCACCATGACACTCAGGAAGTTCACGCAGTACAAAACTGCCGTGGTATTATCTCCTCACATTTGTGGGATTCAGACATTATCGGCAACATTTCATTTAAATAACCTACCAGCTAAGCCTTGTCTAGCAACCAACACCTTC